TATTTGTTTTATATTTTATCTATATATTTATATTTGTGTATACCTCTCTCTATAAGTCCTGATTGTAATCTTATCTATTTTGTTGGCTCTTTTAGATTAAGCTTAGATTCTTTTTGTCACTTTAGCTTAACCGTCAGTTTGGCCTGTCTTTTCTTCATGCCCACGGAAAGATATTCTCCAAAATCGGGTATGTATTTTTCAATTTTTTGCTTGGCCACCCTTGCACATTTAGTCTTATTCTTTGATCGACCTGTTTAACTCAATTTCTTGATACATTCCAATATTTTCATTGATTATTTAAGATTTTGAAAAATTAATATTAAACACTCCTTGCCTAACCTATTTACACCTTCGGTGCCTATTCTAATTTTAAATATTTATATGCACGCTGAATAAGAGGTCGAAAATATCTAAATTTCGAAGCATTTAAACACGACATAAACATTTTATACATAGGTGGCGGCTGGACCTCTTGTGAAAACCTAAATAGTACAACTTACCAAATATCTGTTCAAAGAGAATTGATTTTATAGCCTTTCCATAAAATAGGTTCTTAATATGAATATGGATATAATATTAAGTTTATTGGAATATCGTAAATACTACGACATTTTACCCATTCCTCAGTATGGAAACTTTTCCTGAGGTCGCTAGTGCTGCTCTCCAGGCTTTCTCTGGCCTTCTTGCCCAACAGCCATTTCCTCTCTCTGCTGAAAGACTCTGTTACCTGCTAACCTGCAACATGTTCATTGTGGATCGGGCCGCTGTACTTACCCGTCAGCATGTACAACCTCCAAGTGGCCCTCCGACAGCAGCAAGCACTACTGTTGGCATAAGTAGTCTCACTTTGGCCGATAAAAATAAGGAGTAAGTTAAGGCAAGGTTCTTAGGCCTCGTTTTTTTAAATGTGAATAGCTTTCTATAAACTAGTCAAAGCATAAGATGAAAGTTTCGCCTTATCCTATTTCATCCTATTTAATATCACCTGTGGTCTAACTTTTTAAATAAAAATCTCATTTAGGAATTGATTTAATTCATTTTCACTACTTAGTTGTGTCTTTGAATATACTTAGAAATACCTCCATATTGGTACTTTGCCATTGTCTTCGTGTTCATGCATCGGACTGTTACTCACATATATTCTTTGAAGTTTACATACCGACACGACCGAGATGCTTAGACGGATTGATGAAAACAGCATTCTCTGCAGCAACCTAAAAAGAATTTCAGCAGGTCCCCTAATAAATATCAAAATATGACATCAAGGGATGTCTTTAACAAATTTCATTAGGTAAGTATATAGGAAAACTAGTTTTGAAAAAATCCCTTATTAGCTTATCGCCGGAATACTTTTTATTTTGTTATAAGCG